AAAGGAAAGAATGAATGGGGCCATGTATCGTGAGATTTTGAGTGACAACCTCCTTCCATCAGCAAGGGCATTGAAGATGAAATGTGGCTGGGTCTTTCAGCATGACAATGATCCCAAACACACCGCCCGGGCAACGAAGGAGTGGCTTCGTAAGAAGCATTTCAAGGTCCTGGAGTGGCCTAGCCAGTCTCCAGATCTCAACCCCATAGAAAATCTTTGGAGGGAGTTGAAAGTCCGTGTTGCCCAGCGACAGCCCCAAAACATCACTGCTCTAGAGGAGATCTGCATGGAGGAATGGGCCAAAATACCAGCAACAGTGTGTGAAAACCTTGTGAAGACTTACAGAAAACGTTTGACCTCTGTCATTGCCAACAAAGGGTATATAACAAAGTATTGAGATTAACTTTTGTTATTGACCAAATACTTATTTTCCACCATAATTTGCAATTAAAATGTGATTTTCTGGATATTTTTTTTCTCATTTTGTCTCTCATAGTTGAGGTATACCTAGGATGAAAATTACAGGCCTCTCTCATCTTTTTAAGTGGGAGAACTTGCACAAATTGGTGGCTGACTAAATACTTTTTTGCCCCACTGTATTTTATAAGTCCTGTAAGATGGGACCATGTGTCATCTTACCCCTTACTGTATGTAATCAGAATCAGAAATCCTTTATTAGTCCCACAGCAGGGAAATGTGCAGTGTTACAGCAAAAGTTGAATAGCAGGTAAAAAATACATGAAATAATAAAAATAAGTACACAACCATGGCTAAAATTTGAAGCAGTAATTTCAATTTCAAGTGACATAGATGGCATTTAAGTACCATGACCTTAAAATAATATAAGTACATTTGTAAAAAAAAAAACGTATTTTCCACATTAAAGTGATTATAGCACCGTACAAATTGCAGTTAAATGATAATAACATGAACATAGAGTAATGACTTCCTTAAAGTTTAGGTCGTGATCATCACTTTAAATGAGAAAAATATGAAAGTGAAGTGCATCCCTACATGATTTATGAACTATTGATTTATATGTTTTACTGTTTGGATGTGAAATCTTAAATGATTAATATCTGTCCTTCAGTGTGACGACAAAGACTTCCGCGGCCCATCGTGGAGGCGGCAGTTCCCCCCCCGGGACGTTCACGGTATAAGTATGATGCCCGGCTCGGCGGAGACCCTCCCTGCTGGATTCCGCCTCACCGCCTCGGCTGGTCACCCCCGGAGGATACCCCACGAGGGTAAGAGCCCGCCTCCTCACCTCACATTACCAGATTTCAGTAATGCACTAAATGTGGCTTCAGAGGCAGCTACAGAGCAGGTTTCTCCACCTGTTGCTCCATCCCTGAAGGCGGAGTCTGACTTTGTCTCTTGTCTCTCCGATTGGCTGACTTGCAGTCCTGTATGAGGCGCTGGATGACAGCCCTGACGACATGTATTTGGATTGGTTTCAAGGTCAGCTTCGCCCCTCTGAGGGTCCCGGGCTTGTTGGCCCTGCGTGTCATTTTATTTTACATAATCTCCCTCCTCTTTAAATCTACCAACCTCTGTCCGGCTGTTTCTTTTACCCCTTCTCTCTCTCTCTCTACTAATCTTGAATCTCCGATATCCAACTCCACGGGTGTTGTTTTGCAAAGAAGCACAATAGTTGTTTAGTCACCCTGGTTGTTAAGTTATGAATGAACCTGCTAGTGTAACCCTTGCAGTGACTGAGCAGCAGAACAAAAGGCGGCTGAGCAGTGCTATGTAACAGCGCCTGGATCAGGAGGTTACCATCAGGAACTCAGACTGACAGTTTGTCATCCCTCTGTTAAAAGAGGACACTGGCTGAATGGGCTTCATTACAGGATGATTCCAATTAAGCACAACTTCGTTTCTGCAATCATTTCAGTTTTGTTTTTTTATTACAGTACTTTGTATTCAAGTATTTGTTGAGAACACAGCAGCACTGCAGGAAACAGAATCACACAGGTTTTTAACCACAGACCAGAATGTATACGCCACTGCATTTAAAGGTACATTTAATTTAAGTGCACCTGAACTATATTAAAACCATAATAACAGTAATAACAGTTATGGCAAAGCTTCCTGACAACAGACAGTTAAAATAAAACAGTTGCTTTTTTTTTTCCCTCTTACGAACTAATACTTCTTTCTTTCTTTTTTTAAACCTATACTGTATGAAAGTCTGACTTCCAACTTCTTTCAGGCAATGTCTCCGCATTCCTAGGTCACAGTATAAAAACTGAAGTTCAAAGTTTAGTTAGTACAATGGAAAAAACTACTAATAGAAGATAAAATACTATCAACTTAATGTCTTCTTACTCCCTTGTTTTGGAGCCTTCAACCACATTGTTAAAGTATCCAAGTTATAATGACCTGGAAGTGATGCTCTCAAGAGATGCACGGTGAATTAGAAAGTCTCTTTACAAATGATGCCACCAGAGTTGTGATACCTGACTGGAAATCCTCCTGCTGATTCCGGACAGTGTTCTCCTCTAACACTGTGTCCCCACTGACACTGAAACAGCCTCCCTG